TGATAAGATAAAGTGATTATATAAATAAAAGGTAACTAACTTACATTTCCTGACTCCAGATTGCAGCTTATGCTCTCCACAGTTGTCCAACCTAAAAAAAAAATCCACATTATTTCAGTGGATGCGTCTAAAGCTCCTGGCTGATCAAAACACACCTTGCTTATTGTTCTGCCCTTTTATATATAATTTTAAATGTTTGTCCGTACCTAAGCGTCTCTAGAGTCCAGAGGGGATCCTCCAGTCCAGCTGTTAACTCCTTTTTTCCTGACTCTCCTGGGTTGTTGTAGCTCAGGTCAAGTTCTTTCAGATGGCATGGGTTGGATTTTAGAGCCAAAGCCAGAAAATTACAACCAGCCTCTGCGATCAAACAGCGAGACATCCTGTGGGATTACAGAATGAAAAAAAGAAAAATAGGCATTAATTCTAAACTATAAAATCCAGTTATTCTCAGGTTAACATTAATAACCAGCTCTACCATATTTAGAAATAAATACAAATATAAATAAATAAGTATACAATTAATTGCCTCCCAAAATACAATAAATAAACAAATGTAGGTAGAAATTAAATCATACAGTGAGCCATAAATTTTCATATTTTTTTAATTAGCTTCTTGATTTGCCTTTGTAATAATTACCTTATTTATTGTCTGTTATAATATTCAACTTTAAGTATTTATTTATGTGCATGTTTTTTCTGTTTTATTTTGCCTTTGTGTTTTTTTTACCGTATTTATTTCTTCCATCCTATTTATTTATGCCTGTCGTTTTTACATTTATGTCTGCATTTCTGCCTTGTTATGCAAATAAGGAGGGGTGTGTCTCAGGGGGTCACCTTCTGCTCATTGGTCGGTTAGCAACCCAAGTATCGTGAAATGCATGGTATCGCAACAACCATGAAAACACCCACCCTTAGTGAGCGTGCATAAAGGCCATGGCGGTTGAGTGCATTACTGATTGTTTTCTTTGAAACAGTTCAACCTGCTAATTCCAGGTCTTTCTGAAGCCCTCAGTAAGTGGTATTTTTCTACTCTTACCACAATAGAAAAAGAAGTGGGAGGCCGCGTTGCACAACTGAGCAAGAAGATAAGTACATTAGAGTCTCTAGATTGAGAAACAGACGCCTCACAGGTCCCCAACTGGCATCTTCATTAAATAGTACCCGCAGTAGCCTGTTTGTGCTGTCCTCTGAAGGGAGTAGTACACATCGTTGTAGGAAATCTTCAATTTCTTCGCAATTTCTCGCATAGAATA